CTGACTGGAGCAGACAAACTGGTTATAGGTGGGAGGAAGGTGCCCACTGGGGAAGGGTCTGCAGTGTCACACATGCCTGGAGATGGCACCATTCACCCCTCCCCTCATCACAAAGTCTGCTTCCCTCTCTGCTCCCTCCTTCCTTCAGCATTCAGGCTGCCACTGGCAGAACCACATGCAAGTTCTGGGACCACAGTGGTTCTTGAAACTGGGGGCTCTTACTTAAAGCAAGATTTTAAGAGTGAAAAGACACACAGCATGGGCTTGACATTAATAACCACACAGACACCTTTGAAAAGAAAACCACGTCCTATCACTCCTGTACTGAAAACCTTCCAGAAATTTCCCATCACACTTGGAATAACTCTGAAGTCCTTACCTTGCCCTACAAAGGCTGTGCATGCTCTGACCCCTGCCTCCCTCCCTGTTCATATCTTCTGGTCTCAGCTCAAATGTCAGAGCTGAGACTGGCTTTCCTTGACCAACCAGGCTAAACTAGCCCCATTCCCACCAATATTCTTTCTCTAGCTCAAATTTTTTATTCTCTTCTGATCATGCATTATTTACTATTGCCTTGCTATTTACATTTTTGTTGATGTTAATTGTAATAAGTAATAAGTAAGCTTGGGGAGGGCAGGTACTGTAACTCTCAGTTCCAGGCACTTAGTAGCTGATCAATAGATACGTGTCAAATGAAAGAAGGTTCAAGAAATTAATGTGGTACACATCTGTTGATGGTTTATCTTAGTTCCTCTCCATCTCAGATAATATTTCTGTTCAGCAAACAGCTTTTCAGGGCTTGGAGCCTTTCTTGGTCACCTCTTTTCAACAAGGGGGTTGGTGGCATCCTGACCACTTACTGGGCTTTTGTACTTTAGCCCATTTCTGGCTTTGATGAGCAGGGTCCCAATCAGGCTTTCTGATCTACCTTGACGTCTTGTTCAACTTCCCTGACTCTATACTGCACCCAGTCCTTGTGAACTCAGCCCAGCCCAGTCTCAGTTGCTACAGGCATTCCAGATGGTGGGAAAGAACACAGGCTGGGCAGGTGGACCACAGCCTGGGCGAGGGGACACATCAGATGAGGTCAGGCAGGAAGGTGTCCCACGTACCAGAATCAGTATTTTGTAGTGGGCCAGCCTCTTTCCTGTCCCTTTCTCTTTCTCCCTTCTCTGCCTTCCTGTACAAATCCTTTTTCCCCCTATCTCCTTTTACTTACTATACAAGCTCAAGCCAGAAAGTTCTGAGAATGATTTCTTTTTTATGACTTATGGAATCCAGTCACAATTCTGTCTGGTAGAAGTCCACAGAATTCCCTCTAAAAGAGGATGCTGAATGATGTCTTTATATGTGTTTGAATTTTCTTCTGGAGACAGGGTGGCCCCTAGCTTTCAACAGGTTTCTTAAGAATTTGTATCCCCAAGATTGTCAGCCACAGAAGAAACTTGTTCCAGAGTTGGGGGTGGGGGGAGGGGTGGTCACAGAGTGACAAGACTTCCGTATGTAAAATATTCAGGGAAGACAAATCCCTAGACAGAAAGGAAATCTGTGGTTGCCTGGGGGTGGGAGGAACTGGGGGGAAGGAAAGGTCTGCCAGTACCATAGGAGGTTTTCTATTAGGTTGCTTGAGATGTTCTAAAATTAGATCATGATGATGGCTACGCCGCTCTGTAAATTGACTAAAAATCATTGAATCGTATGCTTAAAATGAGTGAATTTTATGGCATGCAAATTATATCTCAATAGAGTTATTTCAAAAAGTAGACACTGAATTTTAAAAATTGTGAAAGAAAACTCCTTAGTATTTTTTAAATTGGTGACTATTGAAATGACAATATTTTATATAGATTGGGCTAAATAATGAAAATCTTAAAAAGAGCAATTGATGACCATGAACTCTCTCCCAAGGAGGTGGCTCAGAATAACCCCAGTCATAGAGTATGTTTCTGATCTCTACTAGGGGAAAGCAAGGGGCCCAAGTCTCCTGTAATTGAAGGGGGGCAGAGGTCCACGGGAAGGGTTCTTGCTGTCTGGCTTCAGGGCAGCCTGGTCACACGTCAGGTGGGACTTACCAGTATGGACGGGTTCTTCGTCAGGCTTGGTCGAAGATGACTCATTGTCCTCCATGTCCTTGCTGCCCGTTGCCTGGGTGTTGACACTCAGGGGCTCCTCTGAGCCGGGGATCACAGACAACATGCTGCCCCTCGGCGATGACCCCCCACTGGTCCAGGACAGGCTGAGCACCGAGCCTCGCCAGCTGGGTTTGTGGCTGGTGGCGTGTTGTGTGGGGATTTTGAATTTCTTGGGCTGAAGGAAAGAGAGAAGAAGAAGGGATTTCAGGAAGAAGGAAGGAAGGGCAGGAAGATGGGAGAAGTGAGAGGAGGCAGAAGGGGGTGGAAAAAAGGGAGGAAGTTGGGGAGAGGGAGGGAAGGAAGGAAGGAAGAGGGAAAACCTGGCTCTGAGTGTGAATCCCTCTTGGCTCTTTCCAAACACCAAGAGACATGCCCGGGGTCTGGAGTGATGTTCTGTCACAAACTGAGACCATTAAAAAATGTGTATTATCCAAAGCAAACAGGATGGGACTTACTCGATGAGTGACATCGCGGTTGCCCAAGCAGTCACCACAGGAAGCTGAACACAGATTCCAATGATGCCTCCGGAGATGACAGGAGATCTGGGCTTTTCTTTTACAATAACCATCAGAGCTGATATTTAAAAGTGTGGGAGAATGTGTCTAATTTCTTCGGCAATTTGGTTTTGACCTCAAATTGCATGTATGAACTTCTTGGTCACCAAATTGCCACCAGAGCCTCAAAGAACAAAGATTTGTGTTCACTGAGCATATGTATGAAGCATAGACAGTGGAGAAAGTTCTAGGCCTGACATTGTGGAGGTGCAGTAGGGGGAAGCAGGTTTGCTTGATGGGGTAGCCTTCTTTGGGGGAGGGGAGCCATGGCGGGGTGGGCGGAAAGGTCTAGATGACAAATAGGTGGGGAAGTTTCTGCAAGGGCAATGTGCACTTTTGGAAAGAAAGTGGTCAGGGAGGATGGATCACAAGCGTGTATGTTTGTGTGCATGCACACGTGTGCGTGTGGGCCCCCTTGTATGAATGGTGTCAGTTCAGAATGTATAGGGTCATGTCCTCATGATGCAATTCTTACAGAGGCTTCCTAATGTGCCCAAGATCACATAGCTGGCAAGTGCCAGGGCCAGGACTCAAATTCACGTCAGCCTAACACCAACGCTAATTACTATGTCTTGCTTAAAAGTACTTCGAACAATGCCTTTTTCAGTGGCTTTGAAAAGGCCCTTGGTTCCATGCTGATGATTCTTTATGACCTTGAACATACCAGGTGTACAGAGGGGAAGAGTAGGCCCTCAGGGGCTCCAGAGCTAGTTCAGTATGGGCCTAACTCATAGTTCATATAGAAATTATGTAGGTTAATAGAAATGGTTTTATTTGAGGACATTTAAAATGAACGCTCTTGCAGAGCAGACTGAGGTCTTCTTTTGATGAAATTTACAATATTTAATACCCTGGGAAAGAAAACAGGGAGAAGAGACAGCACTGAAGGCCACACCAAAACATTTAATAATGATCTAAGTGGGTGGAGAGAATTGTATCCAGCAGGATTCATATCAGGAAGTCCACTGTATGTGGTCAGAAGTAGTTTCTTGATTAGCTATCTTGAGGGGCCCTAAGTATGGGTGGAACTTCCCTGCCCTTGAAGAGGGGAGGGATTTCTTGGTTGTACAGGTTGGGGAGGTGGGAGGGAGAGAGATGGGAAGATTAGGATGTGATCTCTCCCTGTGACCCCTTCTTCCCCCGACAAAATCTTCAGTGAAATTCTCCACAGATGATGGAATGCTTCAGAATGTGACTGTGGAACTGAAGTTTAAACTGGGTTTACCCAGATCTCAAAGGAGGCAGGAAGGTTACAAAATGATTGTGGTCAAGAAAAAGCGAACGCCAAAAGTTGGCATGTTCTCTCCTTTGATAAATTAGGGGCTTGATACAGTGTCCCCTTTGTCCTGACCTTGCAACTGGTCAAGAGCTTGCCAGACTGACAGAAAGCCCCTCCACTCGCTGCCACCCTGCAGAGAGATGATGCCAGAGTTCAGGGATAATAAATGTAGAAGGTGCCGCCTCCTGTTTCACGTGGCACAAAACGAATTCCTGAGTCAGGAAACCAGATCTTTAGATCAATGTCATTTTTTGAAGGTTGGACAGATTGTGTGGTGGGGGCAGCCTGGAGTCTTGCAGTGAACACTGAAGTTGGAGCCAGGGACCTCTGGGGGTCCTTGAGCAAGTCACTGCCTTGCCTCAGTTTCCTTATCTCTAAAACAAAGAGGAGGGACTGGGATGATCTCCAAAGAGCTTTCCATTTTGAGAGTTCCGTGTACACTGCCCTTGTGCTAGGATTTTGTCTTGTGCTTCTAACATTGCCCTTAATTAAAATTCAATTAACAACCTCAGCCAGGAAATCCAAAGTGAAGGGCTGACACTTCTGATTAATTGAGAGTGGCAGAAAAATAAAATGTGAGGGGAAGATGTGACAGGAAGTTTCAGCCTCTTGCTTGCCCTTTATTGAACTAACTGACTCTGAATTGACTTAAATCCCCAAATGCTCCTTCTCTGTTTTTCATATTTCACTCAGGAGTGGTGTTAACCAGCTGCTGTGTTCCACCTCAGTAAGGACTGCTGCTTTTGGCAACAAACGAAAAGATTTCCCTGATTGATTCCTTACACTTTTTAAAAGCAAGGGTTTCAAAGGGGTAGCCTATGGGGAGACATGCTTAGCTGCCCAGGATTTTACAAACTGGGGACATTTTTATATAGAAACCTAGGTTATTGGTCTCTCTTGAAAACGATAAGTGCTGGGCTCCCATTTTCACATGGCAAAACAGCCAAAGCTGAGCAGAGGTTCTTTCCTTTAGTTGCGCAGGAAGACTCCCATTTGCTACAGACCTCACCACTCCCATCAGTATTATACCCAACCTGGTTTTTTCATTTACCTAACTTGTCTGAACACTGACTGCCTTGGCACTAACTATCTCTATTCACACAGAAGAATATGAGTTGCTGGGGGAGTTGACTGGAGCCTGTCTTTCAAAGTCCCCATTGTATAGGTAGAGAAACTGAGGTCAGGATAGAAGAAAGGCCTTGTCCAATGCCACACAGTGAACTGGGTCACAGTGGCTAAACTAGGTCTCCTGACTCCTAATTTAGTGTTCTCTCACCCTCAGAGTGGACTATACTCCTGGGCTTTGACCCATGAAATTGCCCAGGGAACTCAGTTTTGTGAGAGTTCAAGTGTGGTGATTTGCTCTCCTCTCCTCCAATTTTTTGTTGTGAATATTCCTGAAAGACATTTTTTTTAGGTTTGTGGCTTCTATTGCTTTTTCTGTGCATCTCCTGAGACAGATGCACCTGCTATCTCCATAGCAACTTTCCATGATAAAAACAAAGGCTCTTACTTCTCAGATCCAGGAGCACCCTGGTGAAAGAGCAAGAAGAGGTGAAACTCTTCCTGAGGGGCAGTTATAATCATGATACCATCAAAACATGCATCTGAAGAGCTCGGTGTTTAGGACACAGACCCAGGATTAACAGACTTTGCCATTACCCAGCTGTGTGACCTCATGCAAGTTACATAACCTCTCTGAGCCCCACCTTCCTTCACTCCCATCTGGGGATAAGAATAGTGCCCCACTGGGTTATTAAGAGGCAGATCTGGTTATTACACCTAACCAGTTTCCTTATTACAGAACCTGGCCCACTACAATTACAAAATGGCTTCTAAAAATTACACAACCACAATAATGCTCAGTCTTTTAACATTTCCAAAGGGAGTTTTCATATAGTTTTCTGGGGTTCTTTACTACTGTTGCGAAGTAGGCATGGATGCACCTTGTACCCATTTTGTGCATAAGGGCACAGGTTCAACAAACCCTCAAGTTATATGGTCTCTCAGTGACTTTTACTCGTCTAAATAATGCCTCTTGACATTATTATTATTATGGTGCTTGTTGAGTAGATTGAGAATTTGGGAAGTGGGTTAGTGATGGTTTAGGGTGGAAGAATAGACCTTAGATGTTCTCTGAGTAATAAACACATGTTTTAGTCTGTAGAAAGCCCTGTTGAATCACCCCCTTCCTATTTTCTGACTGAGTTTAAAAAAAGAGAGAGAAATGACTGATATTGATTAAAAAATACAGAGTGAGGTGAGTCCATTTCCTTCTGCTGACATCCTATCAAGCAGCCCTCCAACCCCCCTCCCTTCCTCTTTGAAGGGGTGGCCAGCCAAATGTCATTTCTCCTATAATCCCCAGATAGCCATTTTAATTAAAATTTACAAAAACCATCCAACAGCATGTGGTCTTGACTACTCTTCACTCAGAGAATAAACTAGAAAAAAAAAATCCCATTGGAGAAAAGACTGGCAAAAATGCCCCCAACACAAGTCAGGGGCCGGTAGCCGGATGGCAGGGTCATGTGCTGACAGTTACCTTTGTCGCTGTGACGAAGTGTTCCCACCTCTGTCCCACGGACTTATCCTTACTGATTTTTTTGATTGTGTTCTTGCTTCCACCTGGGTCCCTGCGTAAGAAACAACTTAATGAGTTTTTCGTTTCCAGAGCCTTGGTTTACTACTACAAGTTCTTTTAAGAAATGCAATAAATAGACGATGGACGGTGGCTGGTCTCTATTATGACGTTTTTCCGCCTCCTGTACTTGTGAAGGAGTGGGGGGGACAGTTCTCCATAGCCAGGTCTTATGCTTGAGGTTAGGAGAGATCGCCACTTACCAGGTGGGGGCTGAGGGAGGTGGAATATACTTGTCTGCATTCTGTATCTATTTGCATTTTAGTCTCTAGTCCTCACATAGACTCTAGGGCAATTCTGCACTTACTCCTGGGGGTGACTGAAAAGCATGTTTATTTCTGAACCTGCCTGCTCTGGTGCCTAAGGGTCCTATCCTCAGAGACACTTCTGAATAACACAGAATATAACCGGGTGGGGCTGGGGGGATCTTGTGGGGCAGGTTGCACAATGAAAATGACTGGTTTGGAGTTTATTGACCAAAAGTCTATATGATACTATATGCAAGATGTTTTTGTGCATTTTCTCTTTTTTTATAAGGGTATCATTGATATATAATCTTATGAAGGTTTCACATGAGCAACATTATGGTTACAATATTCACCCGTATTATCAAGTCCTCCCCCACCACATACCTCATTACAGTCACTGTCCATCAGCGTACTAAGATGCTATAGAGTCACTACTTGCCTTCTCTGTGCTATACTGCCTTCCCCGTGCCGCCCCTACATTATGGTTTCTGTGCATTTTCACTGAATTATCTCAATGAAATCTTATGGTATAGTCATTGCCATCCCATTTTACAGATGAGAAAAAAACCTGAGGGCCTCAAGTCACTTACCCGGTGTCTTGCCTGAGGGTTTCAGCCCCACGCAAGTTCACATATGGATTCGGTGAGACCAAAAAAATGACAGCAGAATGTTGCAGGTAAAAAGGGGCTCATACCAAGCTTTATTCTCACAGTGGCAGGTCAAACGCTAGAATCATATCCGCCTCTGCCTGCAGCAAGCCCGGCTCAGTGTCCGCCTAGGCTCTAGCCTCTGCCCCGGGCGCTGCCTGCGCTCCAGGCTCTGCCTCAGCTCCCCAGCCTCTGCTTTCTTTTCTAGGCTCTGCTCTTAGCACCGGCGGGATTCTTTTACAGCAATACTAGCAGTTATGGCTTACTGTCAATATAAAAGCATGCACCCACCCGCACAGCAGGCTGTGCTATTACCTCCTTTCACTACACAGTGGGTATCAGGTGAGGATCCTGGCCATGAGCTTCCATTTTCCCTGCACCCAGATGCAGCTTTATGATGAAACTGATGACCTTCACTTGCAAGGGCCTCTCCAGGATCCTGTACCTAATTTTGCATGACAATTTGTATTGTTTTTCTTAAAGCACCCTCCCCCAGTTAAATAAACTGCAGGTTCCACAAAACCTGGATCCTCCCCTCATAGGCTGGGAACTTTCTGGGTCTGAGACTGAAGCCCCAGCAGGTTTTGTTGGTGACATGCCTTTAATCCCTTATCTGAAACTTGTGGGACCAGATGTGTTACCAAATTCAGAATTTTGTCATTTTGGAAAGAATACAGCTGCATATACCGTCTATTAATATAATCCTTCTAATGGGGTCTGGGGCTGCATCCTGTAATCAAACACATTAATACCTGAAATGATCTATGTGAATATTTACACTAGGTGGAATAAAGACTATAAATAGCTTCATGTCAAGTTTTGCCACCAAATCAGTTTCAGGTCAAATTTTGCTGCCAAGTGAGTTATGGAAAAGCTGAATTTTCAGAACCTTTTTGATTTTGGACTTGGGTTTTGGGGGGTTGTGGCTCTCTGTTGATAAGCAGGCAGAAAGACTCAGTGTGTGTTCTCTTAGCTCCTTCTGCGTCCCTATCAATTGACAGGTTGATCTGTTGATCTCTCTTTCCTTCCATCTATCCATCCATCCATCCTTCCATCCATCTCTTCCTTTATTCCTTTTTATCTGCAGAAAGGACTTTAGATGGCTGGGAATCTTGATGGCATTTGGCTGGCTGCCGCCTAGCACAGAGCAAGGACTTGAGGGAATGAGACGGCCCGACCAGTCTGATGGGGGAGTACCAACAGGGGTCTAAACTTCTCAGGGTGACCGCTGAGTGCTGGTGGCGGCAGGAGATGCTCAGACAATAGGCAGCCAAAGGTGACCAAGATGAACCTTATTTAAGGGTGGTGTCTCATGTCATGAGGCTCTGAGTAGCAAAGTCAAAGGCTCTTACCAGTCCAAATGGGGAGGCGGGGGGGGTGCTCTCTTTGCCAGCAGGACCTTGCTGATCATTGAATAGCTCACAGCCACAACACAAGAAATGCCCGCAAGGTGCCAGGGTGGGAGAAGTCAGGTTTGTGGGGGGATGGGGTGAAAATGTGCCGCCAAGCTTTCTGTAAGACTTTATGTTTGATTACACAATAAAAAGCCCTCTGAATAATTAACAGTGAAGTTCATTTAACGTTAATTAATTAATTAATCCTGCCTCTTCCCCGAATAATCAAATTAGGGAATATTTAAAATTCAGCCAGAGGAAGGAGCAGCAATACTTCAGTCCTGTAAACAATATTTAAGCTAGCCGTGCTTTTGAAGTCTGATTTAAGGCTCACTAACTGGAAGCTTTTGTGTTTCCGCTTTGGAGCATTTCTTTCAAGATCATGGGGCTTTTTGCTTCTTTCCTTTGCTAATGCAGCCCCTGCTGCGCCTCCAGCCTTCTACTTGAAGTTCAACAGTAACACCTTCCCCTTTTAAAATTCAGCCTGGTCCCAGACAAGCTTTCAAATCTTAAATCTTCAAGCCCTACTGGGAAGATGGAGGTTTTCCGGTAACACCGACTTTCAAGATAATCTGAAGTCTCTTGCAACTTCAAGCAGCAGAGGCTAAATGAGCTGGAAATGCAGCAAGATTCCCAGAGATCTTAACCAAGTCCCACATCCTTATTCTTGCAAAGCCACTGATAAGGAACGGGCCTGGCTAGACAGAATCAGTCTCTCTGATGTTTCATTTTCAGTAGCAAATAAACCAAAAGGGAAGATCAACAGGGTGAGAAAAAGAAATAAGCAGCCTGGGTTTTGTTGTCCACAGTGGGCTGATTGTACAACCGGTCCCAAGAGGGCAAAGCAACATGGCGCCTCTTGCCGTGGCTTGGTGGGAGAGCCGTTGGTGCCTGCCTTTCCCCCAAAGAGTGCCGGCTCTTCCTGGCTCCTTGAAGGCAGCAGTAGCACTGTGACTTGCTTTGTTCAAAAATACGTGAGGAAAAATGACACGTGGCACTTTGGGCGGATGTTTGAAGGGCCAGTTCTCAAAGCTGATGTCCTTTCCTGCCACGCTGACGGTGGAAGCTTGTGCTGAGGTGGAGCTCAGAAGACAGGTTGTTGATGTTGGGGACATGCTGGGTGAGTAAGAAAGGAACTTGGGTTGCTTTAAGCTGCTGAGATGTTGGGGTTGTTCATTACAGCAGCTTAACTTAGTTTACCTAACTGATGCCCGTGATTTACTGTCTGTGTGATCTCAGGCAAGTGTCGCTGAGCCTCAGAACCTATCTTGGTGGTTAACAGTGGGTTTAAGAGTTGGGTGGCTGTTCGAGTCCTGTGCCTGCCCCGTGCTTCCTAGGCATGTGTTTGTATAAGATAGTTACCTCCTCTGAGGCTCATTGTCCTCATCTGAAAAATGGAGGGAACATATTAGATATGTCAGAGGACTGCTGTGAAAAGGAAATGAAATGGGGCTTGTCAAGATCCTGGCATGATGCCTTACACAGAGAACTGAATACAGTTAAATTGTTACAACAACATGCTTTTTCCAGCAGAGACCTTAGTATACCTTGGAGGAAGGGCTGATGATGGGGAAGGAAACACAAGGGCAGATGCATAGGGGAAAAGTGGTTTTGATTTTCAGATTCTAAGGTCCCCCTGCTGAGGCTCTCTGGGGGATCCTGTTTGCTAGGAATCAAAGGCAGAAGGTGGGGAGCACACCCACATGTTCTTAACTGTACCTGCTCACCAAGCACATTTTGTTGCTTGTGGTCACTTGATGTCTCTCCACAGTGGCAATCAGAGTAATTTTCTCAAATACTTCACTCTCTCTTCCTGAACCCCCATTTGGGGCAAATCACCTGCTTTTCAGGTTGGAAAGTGCTGGCTGGTATAGGATGCTTTCCTGAATCCATGACCGAGATGGAGAATAAAGGTAACCACTGATTTTGTACCCAGGAGGGAATAAAGATCAATGTTCTCAGGCTCTCCCAGGCCAGGCTGCACTATGCTGCCTCCTGACAGGTGCTCCAATCGCCTTGCCACACGTTTTCTCACTCCTGCAGAGATGTCCACTCGAGTACAGGAGTGGAGGAATGATGTGATTAAATTAGTGCTGAGAAAGAGCAGGGGAAATCAGAGATTACACTCAAATGTCACATTCTGAGTGAGTCTTTCCCTGACGACCCAATTTAAAAGTCACCCCCACCACCTGTCACTATCACATCACCCCATCAATTTCCATGACACTTGATGCTGTCTCAAAGCATTTGGATTACTACGTGTATTATCTGTTTCTTCCCCCCACTTCTCCTAGAATAAAAGCTCTAGAAAGCAGGGATGTTTTCTGCTTTCCTTACTGCAGTGTCTATCCCCAGGAGTGCCTGAGAAAACGTAGGTGGGAGGAAAATATGACTTCCTGGGGTGGCATCTGACAAGGGTTAAAACAACTTAAATATAATCATAACTATTGTGTGTGTTGTTCAGAATGATGTTCCATTTTTTCCCCCAAGAGTGTCCATCTGGCAGACTTAAGGTTTTAGGTGAATTGGTTAAATATGTTGATAAACTCCACAGTCATTAAGAAACTTCGACATGGAGGGACGTTCCCTGTTGTATATTAAGTTAAATAACAAAAATCAAGTTGCAAAGCAGTAAGTGTGGAATGGTCTTATTGTTTTTTACTTTTTGTTTTAAAGAAAACTATGTATTTATATATCATATTAGCT